AAGATAAGTGAAAAACAGAGAAAATATTTTATATGCAGATGACAAAGAATAGCTATTAACCACAACACGGACAGGATTTCTACCATCAATAAGAAATATACAAATGATCTACCTTTTTTTAATGGGCAAAGGATATGAACAGACCGTTTACAAAAACAATTAAAAAGGTCAAAAAGCAATAAAATAGTCCCACCTATTTGGAAGGATGAAGTGGGAGGATCACTTGAGCCCACAAGTTGGAAACCAGCCTAAGGCAACAAAGCGTGGAGGCCCATCTCTTTATGTATGTATTTATTTATTTATTTGTTGAGACAGAGTTTCACTCTTGTTGCCCAGGCCGGAGTGCAATGGCACGATATCGGCTCACCGCAACCTCTGCCTCCTGGGTTCAAGTGATTCTCCTGCCTCAGCCTCCTGGTAGCTGGGATTACAGGCACACACCACCATGCCCAGCTAATTTTTTTTTTGTATTTTTAGTAGAGATGGGGTTACTCCATGTTGGCCAGGCTGGTCTCAAACTCCCGGCCTCAGGTGATCTGCCTACCTCAGCTGGGATGATAGGCATGAGCCACCATGCCCGCCCAGAGACTCATCTCTTTAAAAAAAAAAAAAAGGAATAAGAGAGAATATTAACTTCACTATTAATGACATGAAAATTTAAACAATTAAATACTATTTTTCACCTATTAGCTGAGTAACTGTATAAGAAAATTCATAGCACACCCTAAACATTGCCAAAGCTGTAGGAATAGGGAACATTCACACACAGCTCTGAGTAAGCATGGGAGTTGTTACAAACTTTTACAATTAATTTTCACAGAATCTATTAAAATTTACATATCCGGCCAGGCATGGTGGCTCAATCCTGTAATCCTAGCACTCTAGGAGGCCGAGGCCAGTGGAGAGCTTGAGCCCAGGAATTCGAGACAAGCCTGGGCAACAAGGCAAAACCCTGTCTTTACAAAAAAAAAAAAACACTACAAAATTAGCCAGGCATAGTTGCCCACATCTGTAGTCCCAGCTACTTGGGAGGCTAAGGTGGGAGGATTCCATGAGCCCAGGAGGTTGAGGCTGCAGTGTGCCCTGATTGCACCCCTGCACTCCAGCCTGGGCGACAGACCAAGACCCTATCTTTAAACAAAATGAAAATACAGTCGGGCATGGTGGCTCACATCTGTAATCCCAGCACTTTAGGAGGCCAAGGTGGGTAGATCACCTGAGGTCAGGCGTTCAAGACCAGCCTGACCAACATGGTGAAACTCTGTCTCTACTAAAAAATACAAAAAAATTAGCTGGGCGTGATGGCGGGCACCTGTAATCCCAGCTACTCAGGAGGCTGAGGCAGAATTGCTTGAACCTGTGAGGCAGAGGTTGCAGTGAGCCAAGATCGCGCCATTGCATTCCAGCCTGGGCAGCAAGAGTGAAATTCCATCTCAAAAAAAAAAGAATACCAGAAGGGGCTGGGCGCGGTGGCTCATGGCTGTAATCCCAGCACTTTGGGAGGCGCTCTCTGCACTTTACCCTGGGCGACAGAGTGAGACTCCATCTCAAAATAAATAAATAAATAAATAAAAATAAACATAAAATTTTATCCCATCTACAAATCCTTACAAATGCAAAAGGTATTTTTTTTTTTTTTTTTTTTTTTTTTTTTTTTTTTTTTTTTTGAGACAGGCTGGGGTGCAATGGCACCATCTCGGCTCACCACAACACTTGCCTACCGGGTTCAAGCGATTCTCCTGACTCAGCCTCTAGAGTAGCTGGGATTACAGGCATGTGCAACCACGCCCAGCTAATTTTGTATTTTTAGAAGAGACATGGTTTCTCCATGTTGGTCAGGCTGGTCTCGAACTCCCGACCTCAGGTGATCTGCCCGTCTCAGCCTCCCAAAGTGCTGGGATTACAGGCATGAGCCACCTCGCCCGGGGCAAAAAGGTAACTATTTAAGGATCTTCATTATTGTATTGTTTACAAAGAAAAAAAAATCTGAAACCTTAATGTTCATCAAGATGGAAATAGACAAGGCACACAAATAAACTGGAATACTGTGCAACAATTTTTTAAATGTTAGCTGACTTTGGCCGGGCGCGGTGGCTCAAGCCTGTAATCCCAGCACTTTGGGAGGCCGAGGCGGGTGGATCACGAGGTCAGGAGATCGAGACCATCCTGGCTAACACCGTGAAACCCCGTCTCTACTAAAAATACAAAAAACTAGCCGGGCGTGGTGGCGGGCGCCTGTAGTCCCAGCTACTCGGAGGCTGAGGCAGGAGAATGGCGTAAAACCCGGGAGGCGGAGCTTGCAGTGAGCCGAGATCGCGCCACTGCACTCCAGCCTGGGTGACACAGCGAGACTCTGTCTCAAAAAAAAAAAAAAAAAAAAAAAAAAGTTAGCTGACTTCGATGTCTAAAATACACTGTATGGTGCATTACAGGTGCTCAATACTGGATGAAAAGATTTTTGTATGAACATAGAAAAAAGCCTAAAAGCATATACACCAAACTGGTAAGAATGATTTCCTTCAGGAGCATGGGATAAGTAGATGAGGAGAATAACTATTGTGTGTCTTTTATACTTTTGCATTGTGACGATTTGTAAAATAAGTAGGAGCTAATCTCTTTTTTTTTTTTTTTTTTTTTTTTTTTTTGGTGAGACGGAGATTTACTCTTGTTGCCCAGGCTGGAGTGCAATGGCCTGACCTCGGCTCATCCCATCCTCCTCTTCCCAGATTCGAGCGATTCTCCTGCCTCAGCCTCCCGAGTAGCTGGGATTACAGGCATGTGCCACCACACCTCGCTAATTTTGTATTTTTTTTTTTTAGTAGGGACGGGGTTTCACCGTGTTGCCCAGGCCGATCTCCAACTCCTGACCTCAAGTGATCCACCCGCCTCGGCCTCCCAAAGTGCTGGGATTACAGGCGTGAGCCACTGCGCCCGGTCTTGAGCTAATTTTTTAAAAAGATTTTTTTAAAAGACATTTCTGGTGATGTTTCTTTATCTTTCTTTCTCCATTTTGTCTCTATTTTAGAGTGATCCTAAAACACAAAAAAACGTACTTTCAATGGCCCAAATCATGGAGTGGCTCAGGGATATGAAATCTGCCTAAAATAAATAAATAAATAAATAAATTAAAAGTTGAGAATCCTTGTCTTTTTTTCATCACAAAGAGTTTTTTTTTTTTCCTTCTTTTGGCATCACCATTACTTCTCCTAAAGTCATGACATAATATCACCTACAGCAAATAATGAGGACTTAAGTGGAATTGACATCTCCTTCCATCAAGCGCATTTGCAGTCCATCTTCAGCAGGACCTCTCTTTTTTTTTTTTTTGAGACGGAGTCTCGCTCTGTCGCCCAGACTGGAGTGCGGTGGCGCGATCTCGGCTCACTGCAAGCTCCACCTCCCGGGTTCACGCCATTCTCCTGGCTCAGCTCCCAAGTAGCTGGGACTACAGACGCCTGCCACCGCGCCCGGCTAATTTTTTGAAATTTTTTTTTTATTAGAGACGGAGTTTCACCGTGTTAGCCAGGATGGTCTCGATCTCCTGACCTCGTGATCCGCCCGCCTCGGCCTCCCAAAGTGCTGGGATTACAGGCGTGAGCCACCGCGCCCGGCTAGCAGGACCTCTCTCTAATGGCTAAGGCTAGGCAGAAGAATTTGAAGACAGTCTGGTTTCCATTTTCCTAATGCAGCCTGGCCCAGGAGCCAGGTCTCCCATAAGACTAGTCTACTGGGGAAGTCAGGGTCTTTTCCACGTGTGGAGGCTAGTGTTCGATGCTGGACGGCCTGGAATAACGGGGGAAAGTGAGAAGGTAACCAGGCTGGCCTTGGGATTCGCAGACCATGGCTGGGGCTTTGACTTCTGCAGGGAGGTGAGCAGTGTGGCCTCGGGCTACTCAAGGAACAGCTTCTGCGAGAACACTCATTTTCAAACTGGTTGAGCGCACAAGGCAAGAGTGCGCAAAGAAAAGTTAACGCCTCTCCCAGCTGACCCCAAAATCTACTGATCTGGGCTTGACAGAAAAAGTTTGGAGAAGAACCACCTCGGACGAGTTACGTGAAAAGGCTGGGTACGAACTACTTTGGCTCTACTTGGGGCGCCGGCTCAGAGAGATGAGGAGAACGTCCGCGAGGAAGACAGAGTGACGACGATTTTTCAAGGAGTCTAAACCAGCTCACCCAGCAAACCCTCTTCCCATCGAGCACCCAGCGCACAATTATTGCAGGGCCGAGGCTCCTACCCTCAGTCTCGATGGCGATCGGGGCGCGCCCCGGCCACGGCGCACGCGCGGGCCATGGCGCCCCCTCCTCCAGGCCATCCGCGCACGGCACCGCCCACTCACCAACTGCACCTCTCCGTGCGTCCCCAACCTCACCCGCTCTGAGGCTGCCCCAGCTCGTCTAGCTGCCGAGCCCGGAAGTGGATGCGGCAGCTCGGCGGAGAGGACGAGGGGGAGGGGGAAGTGCTTCCGGGGAAACGGGCCGGGGTTGGTGTTTGTAAACTTGCCTCGGTCCCGGTGGGGGCAGCCGCGGCTGCGGCGTTGGCAGGGTGTGCTGGGGCCTGGGGGAGGCGCCGCGCGGCCGGGGAGCCAGCGGGACGCCGCGCCTGGCAGGTAGGAGCACGCCCCAGAGAGCGCAGCGTCGTCCGTACAGACGGCAGCGCTTCAGTACCTCGCAAGCCGTGGGGCGCCGCGCGGGAAGGGGGAGGGGAGGGGAGGAGGGGCGCGTGGCGAAGGGAGGGGGTTCTCTGGGGAAGGGAGGGGAAAGGCCGTGCGCGCACACCGCCCCCTGCCCGCGCGTCCCGCCGCGTCCCCGGCCCGGGAGAGGGCTCGCTGGGAGGGGACGCGGGCGCGAGCACGCACCTCGCGCACTTCTCGCCACTCTCCGGCTCTGCTCGCGGTTGGTGCAGCGGGTGCAGGGGCTGGCTGGCCGGAGAGAGATGGGCAACACGCCGCGCCGGGCTTTGCCTGCCTGCCCTTCACTTCCGCAGCGAGTTTCCTTACCTTCGGGCTGACGCAGAGAACGCGCACGTGTGGGCACTGCCAGTCCCGTTTCTGCCCGCCACCGAAGCACCCAGCGATGGCCCTTGAGCTTTCCTCCACCCTAGTCTGGCCGCCTCTGTAAAGTGCGAGCTTTTCGGGCCGGCCCATTGGGCACAAAAGCCCCAAAGGATCTCCGCCCCCTTTTTCCATTCCTGAGATGGCAAATCCAAGCAATTGCCCTTTTGGCAGAGTTCCTCCATAGGAGGCCCCAATTACTTTTGCTCCTGTTGGCTTCCCCTCCTTGCCCAGGAGACCAGTTCCTCCTATTGACCTAGAAAGAAAACTCTTCTTGACTCATGTCCTGGTTCTGAGCTTCACAAAGAGCGCCCAGCAAAAAAAAGTTCACATCGCACGTTGTAATGGCCTGAAGATCTTGCATTTAGCAGCCCCCTTCGTCCTTTCTGGTTTTAGGTTTCTGGAACAGATCGTGAGCTTCATCGAGACAATTCAACTGGAAAACCAAGACTGGTAGACGCTCTTTTTCTTCAGACAATAGGCAGGAGCCAGGCAGAGTCCAAGGATTCTTGGAACACCTATCTTTTCTTTGGAGGACACTAAGTTCTATTTGAAGACAAAGTTCAATATGGCAACAGGACTGATGGGACACGAAGGAGTCGTTACCGTGGTTTGGTGACAGTTGTTCAAAACGACAGTGTCTTAAGGAAAGGTGGACCAAGGAACTCCTGAACTTTTGGGTTGCATTAAGTGAAAAATCAGCATGGCTCAGGTAAAAAAGCTCTAGAGTCCTCCTCCAAGATCACTGGGAAGCCTGTTGCAGTTTCACTCTTGAATGCTGCTCTAGTCAACATATTGACCAACCCCAGTGATCCAAGCTCTGTATTAAGCACCAGGGGGAGATCTAGAGGAAGGAAAGGAGACAGGCCACAGCCCCTGCCTTCAGGGAGCTTCCAGTCAAATGAAGGAGGTAGGCTATCCTGCATCACAGGCACTGATGGGACATGTGCAAAGCAACGTGTACTCAGTTTACTTTTGGTACATTAAGTGCTGAGGGGTGTAAGGGAGTGAATAGTATGGTGAATGCTTCATCTGTTTTTTTCCAACAGGAATTTATTGAGTTCCTGTTGCATGCAAGGCATTGTGCTGGGACTACAAAGATGAATAAGATTGTCCTTGTCCCCAGTGAGCTTCCAGGCTAGTTGGGGTCGGGAGAGGGATGGAAAGACATTTATTTTTATATTCACAATGCCTTGTATAGTGGCTAGGTAGTAGTAGAGACTCTGAATCTGTTGATTGAGGAATGTGCAGTAATAGGGGTATGCACATAGGAGAGAACAGTACTTCTGCTTGGATAGAAAAAGAAAATGAAGGTTGACAGATAGAAGGGCGTTTGGACAAAAGGAACAGCATGGGCAGGAGCTTAGAGTCATGGGAAAACGTGATGAGGTTCTGGGTACTGCAGGTGGTTTGGTAGTTATAGACTAAGGGATTTAAATGGGGGTGGTTATGGAGGTAGCATTGACAGTGATAGGTGAGGAAGTTGTTCCCTGCGATAAGCAGAGTGTAACCTAAAGCCCTTTTATGCCTTGCTAAGTTAAGCAGCAGAGTAGCATCAGAGCAGTGTATGTAGGAGGTCATTATCATTGTGGAGGTAGAGGATGGATTGGAGAGACAGAATGAGCAGATAGGCTGTTGTAGTCATCTGAGTAGAATAGCTGTGTGCACACATCTCCAGAGCTTCTCCCAAGCTTTCTTCTAGGGAACCTTCCCTACCAGTCTCACCAGGATGGCAGTCTGATTGTAGAATTGGCTTTCCTCCAGCTGCTTCTGAATGCACAGCTTCCTCCTTTCCATATAGAATAGGGGCCAATCAGTTTCTTCTTCCTTTGTCTTTTGCAACCCACTTCTCAGCATTGTATTCACTCTTCTGTGAAGGCTGCCTTCCACTAAGGACTCAGCTTTGTGCTGGACACTGCTAAGCATTTTACATCTTAGTTTACTTTTTATCAACCGTGTAAGGATAAGCATTATGACAGGCATTTTTCATGTAAGGAAACTAAGGCTTGCAAAGGTGAATAACTTGCCCGAGATTATACAGTGCAAACAGCTGAGCTAAGATTTTAACTCTGGATCTTTCACTCCAAAGTCCTAGAAGTTGGAGGGAGGGGTCCTAGAATATACTGATCATCCAAAAGGAATTTCTTCATAAATTTGGGCATTTGCTGACCAACAATTTCTTAAAAGTTTTTTTTCAGTAAAGTATTTTCTTTCATGCTGGCTAACCGAAGTCAGCCTGAAGAATGTAGCAGTGGAATGAGGAAATGTACTTAAACATACCTTACTTAAGTAATTTTTTAAACTATATGTGGAGCAAGGAATGTGAAAAAATGTGATCATACATGCACACATATAAATGGCCTAAAAGGTCAAGAGGAATACTCAAAAAAACCTTCCAAGTGGTTTAATTTTTCTATCAGTTGCAATTGGTAATACTTAAGGAGTTTAAAATCTAAAGGGAGAAATAGCCTGTAATCCCAGGACTTTAGAAGGCTGAGGCTGGAGGATTGCTTAAGCTCAGGAGTTCCACACCAGCCTAGGCAACATGGTGAAACCCTGTCTCTATAAATGCAAAAAAAAATAGCTGGGCGTGGTGGTGTTCTGAACTCCCAGTTATGAGATAGAGGTAGAAGGATCGCTTAAGCCAGGGAGGTCAAGACTGCAGTGAGCCGAGATCGTGCCACTGCACCCCAGCCTGGGCAACAGAGTGGCATCCTGTCTCAACCAACAAAAAATGAAACCAATAGAAAATACAGTTGGCACCAGTAAAGTCTGCCAATCGAAAGTGGGCTCTGAAGCTAATTTATTTATTTATTTATTTATTTTTGGAGACGGAGTCTCGCTCTGTCACCCAGGCTGGAGTGCAGTGGCGTGATCTCAGCTCACTGCAGCCTCCGCCTCCCGGGTTCAAGCAATTATTCTGCCTCAGCCTCCCAAGTAGCTGGGACTGCAAGTGCATGCCACCACATCTGGCTAATTCTTATATTTTTAGTAGAGACGGGGTTTCACCTATTGTCCAGGCTTGTCTCGAACTCCTGACTTTGTGATCCGCCCACCTTGTTCTCCCGAAGTGCTGGGGTTATAGGTGTGAGCCACCATGCCTGGCCCAACTGAGGGCTGTTGAGAGAGGAAGGAGGAAGGTCCTGAAGGAATCTCCCATGTCAGTGGGTTAGCAAGATGGAACCTCATACCCACTCACAGTTAAGGCCTAGAAATACCTTCAAAGAAATATGTAGTCACACACACTGCCTAGTTCTGATGACAAAGGTGTCGGTAATACTTGATTATTTACTTTATCTGTATTTAAATGCTGAGAGATGACAAGTCATTCCTGGTGAGATGAGTTAGGGAGGACTCTTGAAGGAAGCAAGGCTTTGGCAGTGAGGAGGGACATTCCCTGGAGCGAAGCAGTGTGTAGTTGGGTGTAAAAGGTAGTTCTATAGAGGATGGCAGTCTATTTTTGCCCTGCCCTGCCCTGCCAGGTGACCTGACACCTCATCTCCTTTCAACTTAGGCAAGTCTCCTGGCTTGTGAAGGCCTAGCAGGTGTGAGTTTGGTTCCCACTGCAGCCAGCAAGAAGATGATGCTGAGCCAGATTGCCGGCAAGCAGGCTGAGAATGGCGAGCGGGCAGGTAGCCCTGATGTGCTGAGGTGCTCGAGTCAGGTACAGTGCTTGAGTCCATTGTGGCACCTGGGGATTGGGTGGCCCGAGCTCTCTGCCAGGAGATACCAAGCTCTGATTCCTTGATGCTTCTGCATAGGGAAGTGGGGCAAGGGGATCCAGCTGGGGAATGGATGAACATTGGTATTTCAGAAAGCTAAGGAAGGTCTTTTGTGTACCTTCAACTTTTTAAGACCAGATGATTGGAGAAGAAATAGTTGTATATTTCCTCTAAGCTTTCGGGGCAGGTGGTTGACTCTCATTTATGAATTTTGTCTGAGAGCTGCATTGGGTCTCATCTCATCTTCTGAGATGGGCTGTGAGTTTAGATTTGATTTGTCTTCAAAGGGTCACCGAAAAGACAGTGATAAGTCCCGGAGCCGCAAAGATGATGACAGCTTGTCTGAGCCCTCTCATTCAAAAAAGACTGTTAAAAAGGCAGGTAATGGGGTGGCCCCCCAACTCATACAGTTTGGTAATGGGGTAATATTCCTCCTTCTTCCCTCTACCATGTAACCTGGAGCTTTCTCTAGATGCTTTGATCTCTGATAGCCAGTGAGTGAGTCGCCCAGATTTCATCTAGAGACTACCTTGGTAGTTGATCTCTAGCCTTTCTGGAACAGTAGAGTACAGGTTGGGGAGCATGAGATCCCAGATCCCGTGGCATGGGGGCAGACAGGCTCCAGCTCAAGTCATACTCAGACTGCTGGGTTTGACAGGATAGACAGCTTACCCACTCCACCTCCTTCCCCAAAGGGTCTCTTACCTCCATGGAGTACAGGAGATGGCAGCACCTTTAGACAGCATCAGAGAGGTTCCTTTCTTCAGCAGCTGGAAGTGAACCCAGAGTAGAACAGTCTCTCCAGGAAGAGGGCAGTGGTGGCCTCATGACATGCCTGATTATTGCCCCCAGGTGGTGGTAGTGGAACAAAATGGTTCTTTTCAAGTAAAGATTCCCAAAAATTTTGTTTGTGAACACTGCTTTGGAGCCTTTCGGAGCAGTTACCACCTAAAGAGGCACATCCTTATTCACACTGGTAAGTGTCTTGCTTATATTCAAAAGAGGGAGAATAGTCTATCGCTTGTATTCCATGTCTGTGTGTGGTTCTAGTTGGGTTTATTTTAATGGGTATTAGAAATGAAGGAAGAAGATAAGTCAGTGAAGCAGAGAGATTGCATGGCTTTGTATCTGTTGTCACTGAGACCAGCACCTTTGGGGACCCCTCCCCATTTATGATCACTTAGGTGTCTACATATTACTAATAGCTAAAGTTTCTGAGAAAATAACTGGAATGAGGTCCCTACCATACATACCTCCCCACATTCACTTCTCTCTCCACTTGGGCCAGGTGAGAAGCCATTTGAGTGCGATATATGTGATATGCGTTTCATCCAGAAGTACCACCTGGAACGCCACAAGCGTGTGCACAGTGGTGAAAAGCCTTACCAATGTGAACGGTGTCATCAGGTAAGGCTCATCCCTGCTGCAATCCCCCACACACTTTTCCTTCCCCAAGAATCAGGGCCACCCTCCCCTCCTGCCTGACAAAAGAGCCACCAGCATT